TACGTCCGTTTATCACGTGCACCAGAAATTTTAACTGAGGAATGTCCGTGGTGTCGCACACAAGTCAATAAAAAACAGAAGAATTTGACTAAAATTCCTAGAGGATTTCTGTGCTGCACGTGGTGGTTTTACCCCTTTAGGCCACAACCATAGTAACGCCTGACACGGACGGTCAGACCAGATCGTCTTCGGGCACAAAAGAAGGCGCACCGGCTCTTTGGTAATGCAAGGCAACAATAAACGGTTTCGGTTACCATACTGACGCCTGACGCCCTGTGTCGTCCCCGGTCAGACCGTCTCCAATAAAACATGTTCTATCGAAGAGGGTCCGTCGTTCGAGATTGGGAGGTAATTTTAATAATGTGATCTCTGCATAGTTGTGTCCCCTTTCCCGCCTCAATGACACTACACAGAATTATATTCTTGCAGTTCTTGGGCAGCTCTGCATATCTCTAGCAGTTCATTGAAACTGCTATGTTTCATGCGATAGTTTTGTTGAAATTGTTCACCCTCTTCCAACAACTGCGGAAACAAATGATGAAATTCACCTAGCGTATCACGCTTTCTTTGGATGGGATGCAAGGAAAATCTTCTTGTCTTGGTTTTCATTTTTTGTCTGCGTCTCAAAAGCAACAACAACAACAACAATTTTCTTCTTCTACAACACGCCATATTTTCAAGACGGCGGTGTCTGGCAGCGAAACTCCGGTGTTAATATGGTCGGCCGCACCCGGCGGAAAACGGCCGTCTGACTATCGGTGTCGGGCGTTAATATGGTTCTATCCTTAGGAAGCTTTGCAGTCAGTACGCATTGGTACCACTTTAATACTTTCAGAGCAAAAAAAAATTTGAAACATTCCTTGCTGTCTTTGGTTCTTATTTGTTTTAATAAACAGAGCTGTCTGTCAATGTGGTCCTTAACTTTTGTTGAAGTATGTGCAACGTTCAAATTTCAGGTCTTTGATTACGACGAGTACTTCATTCGATTTAACTCTTTTCAGGGACTGATATAGTATTTCTTCTTAACCCTAGTCTTCTGGATGGTCCGATTTCCCTAGAAGCCTGTAAGGGGGCCTCTCAGACCCCACTATTTATCCTTTGTATTTTATGGATAAACTTGGTGGTTGATCATCATTTACAGAAACTTAAACACAGAAACGTTGAAACAAAGCACCTAAGACTACACATAGAGAAATAATCTGTTTAACGAACACATTGATTAAACTTTAGGTATCATATATTAGTTGGTGAACAACTTTGAATGAGGTTAGACTGAAGAAATCAATGCAATTCTGGCACTTTTTTTCCTAATGATTGTGGGTCGGTCATGTCATGAGCATGCTGTTTTTATTGCTGAATAATGAGATTAAATTTAAATGATGATGTGGTAGTTCTTCAGTTAAAAATGAATCTCATGAAAATGCCCAAGAAGACTTAATTACGGTAAATGATTATTAGGAAGACGCCAAAATAGTGTGGTACATAGATAATAACTTGGTACCAATACTGGCACCGAAGACCAGGAAACAAGTGCTCGGAATACGAGTGTCTACTGACAGTGAAGACAAACGTGCTTGGAACCACAAACTGATATTTCACAAGATATTCTGTCCTTGTTTCTCTGATGAAGTCCACATCGTTTTCTCTTTCTTTGTCCATGTTCAGTGACCAGTGTTCTTGCTTCTTGGGTTTGGGTAAGTGGTGTGACACCACAGAGAAGCATGCTCATACGAGCTGACTTAGGGATGTTCTCAGTGGCAGCCCGGCATTGTATTAATGGCAAGCAGAGCTCATCACCCAACATCTCGAGGAAGATTTTTCTCCTGTGTTTCTTGCGGATATTCCACTGGGGATTTTGAGCAGTGAAGCAGATGTAAGCAGCAATAGCTGCAACATCCAACAGATTGAAGAAGAAGGTCAGAGGCCATCTCACGGTCTGCCTCTTTAACATGTATGCATGGACCATCTGGTCCAGAGAGTCCACACCGCCCTTTGTTTTGTTGTAAAAGTCGTTGATTTCTGCTTTTCTGGTCTCCCCGTCGATGCTGCCATCATGGTGCATACTTGACAGGAGAGAACTGCCTTTCCTATTATAGTAAAAATGCCTTGGGGTCTGAGAGGCCCCCTTTAGGGTTCAGGGGGGTAGTCCTAGGAAAATATTCATCACTGTCTTCCAAATTATCCAAATAACTTCATAGACCGTATTCATGCTTATCAGAGGGTGTTTGAAGAATACCTGGGAGGAAAATAACATCGAACCAAAAGTTTTGTCGAAAATGCCTGAAATATACCTGTTGGGGTCTGCGAGGCCCCCATCCAGAAGACTAGTCTTCAGTCTTTTCATCTTTTCAAATGAAGGTTAGGGTACATGTCTATAGTGGGCCCTATGTATAATATGTATATGTATGTACCTCTTTATTGTACTGCAACTTTATGAAGGTCTGTTTGCAAAGTATATGCTATTGAAATTAGTACCTGCATTTTTTAATTCTATATTATAAACAAAAGTTTTATCCACTGTGAGGTTTCTCTACCTACCACAGCTTCACCAGAGCCCCATTAGCCAGCAACACGTCAAGGTTACCATGGTCGGCCTTCACGGCTAGCGTAACGCCCGCGTGACATGATATCACACCGTATCTCACCCGAACCCAGAAACCATCTACTTTGTTCTGTTTCCATCTCCCAGGACGAGGACCGAGGGGTTGGACTTTGGGAGACAAAAAAAATTGTTAATAAAATTTTTTTTTTCCCTAAAATAATGTCCCATGCCCGTTTCTTCGAACTACTCGACGCCATATATTAGTGTAAAAGTGAACAAAAACGACAAATTGAGTTAGTATGTTATTATAAAACAAAGCAAAAGTAGAAAAGACTTTTAAAACATAAATCTAAACGAACATACACTACGGAAGAGTTGATGTCGTTGAGGGAGTGAAAGAAAAATCAACTCATCTGAAAATCAACTTAACCGTTGGGATACAGAACAGGAGGTGCTGAAACCAGAGAAAAAGATCAAGACACGAGAAATAGATCAATCGAAGATCAACTCAAACGAGTTCAACACAAGTTGAGTCGACTGTTAAGGTTAGTCAGTTAATTTGAATAATTTTATTTTTTAATCCTAACATCCTCTGCTCCAAATGAGTCACGAGGCGGGCATTTTCCCACATTCCCACTCCCTAATGGAGCAACCAAATTTAATTTAGTCGTCACCAAAGTAAAAAATATCCTACGTGTGTGCGCTCAGTCTCGTCTACTGGTGACGTTTGTTAGGTGTTATTCTACTCTAGGAGGACAGACCAAACAGAAAGGAACACACATTATCTAAGGCCAGTCAAGTAACTATAAATCACATAAAGGTGAAATAGAAGATATAAGACAGAGGGGAAACTTAAGCAAATAGAGAACATAACGGTATGAAGAGCCAGAGACCAGTTCCCCTCTGGACTCTGTCCTGTTGTATCATCCCGAGAGAAGCATTTCCTGACATCTCGATACAAAAGTACTCTCTGGCTAGCCAAGATTGGCAATCACCTGAACATAAGTCAATAAGGGTCACCCCCCTCCCCAGATACCGCTCATTAAGAAAATAGTCATAACTAAAATATAAAAAAAAGAAGAAAAAAATATATAATTTAATGAATAGCACAACGTACCAAATCGACCCAGGTGTAAAATGACACTTATAATAACTTTTTAAATTACAATAAGATTTATTAAGGGAATCAATAACAGATCCAAAAAATAATGAAATAGAAATTATCCTTCGCCCAGACCTCCCGCAAAAAAGTGGTCGTTTCACTGGTAATGAAACAAACATTCTCTATCGGGTCAAGGTTCAGTTTCCTCTTTGACCCTTGACCCGACAAGACGTCAAATACAAAAACAAATCAAGCAATTAAAAACTAATCTAGCCCATTCAGAAGAAAAAAAATTCAAGTTAACAAATCAACCCTACCTCAATCATTCAACTCTGCAGAAGCATGTCTGTCTATCCACCCCTTCCCCCCTCCCCCGCACATAAACAGACTACTAACATCACAAATAAATCCCGGTTATTAATGGAAACAATCCTGTATTTACTTTCCTAACATTACTGACATGAAAGTATGGTTTGACTGGCCTTCTATATAAGTAATAAAAATGAAGGGTTAGTGTTAGTGCATTTGATAGACATCAGATAAATTAATCAGAAATGACATTCTACTGAGACTTCCTAGCTCGACATTCCGGTGTTAGGGCGTCTTATCTACGAGTAGTGATATACAGTGAGTTGTGTGAGTTGTTATGATGTACTTCTTAAGGTAGTTAGTTTGTTATTTAAATTATTATAATGACTATGTACATGTACGAAACAAAAAACACACACGGACACACACACACACACACATACACTGACACACACAGAGGAGAGTGGGAAGAGTGGAAACAGAAGCAAAGAAAGAGAAGGAAGAGCGTGGAGAGGGAAGGAAATATAAAGGGGGGGGGAGGCATCATTGGAATGGATTGGATTGGATTGGATTGGATTGGATTGGATTGGATTGGATTGGATTGGATTGGATTGGATTGGATTGGATGGATGGATGGATGGATGGATAAGATAAGATAAGATAAGATAAGATAAGATAAGATAAGATAAGATATCTACTTTCCCTCGCTCGCCACCAACTCTTCCTCACCCATCTAAATCTCTTCCTAGCCTTTAACAAACCCCCACTTCCTTCTATTCCTTAACATTAACCCATATCCACCTCCTCCTTACCCTTAACCTTAACCCCAAAAATATCCACCTCTTCCTAGCCCTTAACCGTAACCCATATCTATCTCCACCTATCCCTTAACCTTAACCCACCTCTTTTTTCTCCTAGCCCCTAACCTTAACCCATATCCACCTCCTCCTAGCTCTTAACCTTAACCCACGTCTACCACCTCCTAGCCCTAAACCCACCTCAAACTACCTTCTCTCCCTTATACATCTCCTCCTAGCCCTTAAAACCCTAAAGCATCTCCACCTTCACCTCCTCTCCCTTAAGCACCTCAACCTCCAACACCTCCACCTCCGGCCTCCGTCCCGCTGCTGTCCCCTTCTCCACTTCTACCTCAAGATCTAACACCACCTTTCCCTCTCCTTTAACAAGCTCTACGTCCACTACCACCTCTCCCTTATCTACCTTCACCTCCTCCCCCTCCGCAAACTTACCCATCTCTATCGTCACCACCACCTCCTTTCCCCCTACCTTAAACACCTTCTCCGTCTTACTTACCACCTTCTCTGCCTCGCTCACCTCCTCTCCGTCACTCACCACTACCACCTCTTCCCCTTCACCAACCTCCTCATCATCACTCACCACTATCACCTCGTCTCCCTCACCCACCTCTTCCTCATCATCGCTCACCACTATCACCTCCTCTCCCTCACCCACCTCTTCCTCATCATCACTCACCACTATCACCTCCTCTCCCTCACCTAACCCCGCCTCACCTCGCCACTCTCCACTCACTCTCCTCCTCTTCCTACGCGACTCCTCCCCATCTACAAACCTCCTCCTCTGAGGTACAAACCTAACACTTCCAATCTCCACCTGGGTCTCCTCCGCTCCCACCAGGGAAGGTGTGGTCCGTTGCTCCGCCATTCCGTCAGCTTCTTCTCGTCAGGGACGTCTCGGGTAATCTGTGGAAGAGAAGAGAAGAACAAAGAAAACACTGGATTAGCCACATGTTTGGAAGAATGGCAAAAATGTCATACATGCATTATTATTTAATTCATTATTATCATAACGATTGCAACGCTCCCAGGAGAACAGATTGGTTTCTGAAAAAAAAGCCTATAATAATATTATAACTTCAACAACGATTTCGATACAGTAAGTTTTTTTTTACAAGAAAACATTTAATTTTAATTACCACTTCCAATGACAGTCGTAATGTGTAAAGGGCGAAGGTCCATTTTAAAATGTCGCAATAAAAAGCTCGTTCAGGCTGCTACACGTCCTGACATTCAATCTAGGGTCACCCGCGCAGTAGCCTAGCCTGAGAATATTTTTGGAACGGCTCATAAATCTGTGGGCTTTCAGGAAAGAAATGCATAAATTAAGTCCGGGTCCACATTAGTGGTATCATTTGTCTACATTTTGTTACTATTACAAATTACAAGTGCTGTGGTAAAAGGGTTAACACACCTTATTGGTTAAGTCGAAGGGAGAGTAGGAGAGAGAGAGAGAGAGAGG